TCTCAAATAATTTGGACAAAGCTTGGTTTATATTATGATATACATAATCACAATTGCTCTTTGTTAAATATGTGCATCCCAACCGGACACTCTATTAAGGGCCCGATTCAACGATCCCAATGTCAATCCAATAAATAAAAGGTCTATATAAGGTTATAACTTTAGTAGTAGAAGTAAGGTTGTAGTGATCCTCGTCTAATTTTTTTAATTATGTGGATTAACCATAAATCTTAAAAGATGTGTCGCTTTTGTTACGTTATTTTAAAAGACGTGTTAAAATATATATTATCCAACTAAAATAGAAAGTGTACATAGGACCTTATTTCTAACCACTAACGTTTGTTTTTTCTCTAACTATTCTTCAACCATGTTTTGTAAGTGGTTACATGGTTGCAAAGCCCAATGGAAACTATTTTAAGGGATTGCATACTATGTAACCACTTACCTTTATGTTTTTTTTTTTTTTAACTTTGAATTTAATCAATAATACTCTTACAACCACTTGATTTAAAATCTGATGATAAGAGTAATTCTAACCTTCTAATTTATCTCTTTAAGTCATAATTGCTATCCTAATATATTATATACACTCCTGAAAATCTTGTAAGACACAAGATGCTTGTAAAAAATTACTAAACCATTCTTATTTAATGAAAGTGATGAAAAGACCTTGAATTTCTTAGATCTACTAATAATAATTTTCTTACTGTGATCACTAAAAAAAAAAAAAGTGAATATGAACCCATAAGATTTTATACACCCATAGGAGTATGCTGTTCACATATTCCTCTAGGTAAAACCCTATATAGGAGTAATTCAATAGGCTAGCCTTAGTTTATAAATAAATAAATAAATAAAAATCCAAATTGAAATCTCTATATACTAAAAAAATAAAAATCTCAAAATTGAACAAAGACTGCCCAATTTTTGCAAGACGAGATCTCAAAAAAGCCAAAATTTATTATTATTATCATCGTCATCATCATTATTATTATTAGTTTTAAAACAGGCCTTATGAATGAGAGAGTAGATGCATAGTATTGCTCCCATGGGAGCATAGTACATGTACCATGTGAAAAAATAAAAAATAATAATAATAATTAAAAAAATTTTAAAAAGGGAAATAACCTGTTTTTTTTTTTCTTTTTTTAATGATAAACGTGAATACCCTTACATTCTTGGGTACAATCACTACTTATGATGATGATGATTAAAAAATTACAGGATACCTCTTATTTCTCTTATGCAATATGCAATTTGAATTTTACCGAAAAATATGCAATTTAAATCGAGCTGGATAATAAGGGGATAATTGTGTGTCTCAGGCAAGGAGTGAGTGTGAAAGGCTACTTCCCTTGGACATTAATGGATGATTTCGAATGGAACTCTGGTTTCACTCTTCGTTTTGGCCTCATTTTCGTGGACTACAAGACTTTGAATAGGTACCCCAAACGCTCTGCTTATTGGTACAAGAACTTCCTCAAGGCCTAGATCCACCATTAATGGAGCTCAAATAAATAAAATGATATGCTGATTCAAACACAAGTTATTGACTTGGTGAAATAGGAACTTCTAGTTCCAATTTCTCTTGTTTTTCTCTCTCTTTTTTGGGCTTGTTTATATTCTGTCTCCTGTTCTTAATCTCAAATATAAATTAATGTCTTGTGAAGGACATGTCATTTTAGTTTTTTGATTGATAATAAAATGCCTTTGAGCATTACGAAAACTAGGGAAATCCCCATAACCGAATTTTTTAAACATAAGTTCCCTGATAGTCTTATATTTAGAGAGGGGAAAAGTTTATATAAGGTTGCAACTGTAAAATGTAGAATTACAAATGCACCTCAAAAATCTATCTGAAATGTTGTTTTCATGTTGAAAACTAATTGATCATCTCGACATTGAGATTTATAAATATAAAAAAAAAAAAGGTTTTTGAGTCCCGAAAATAGTGCATCTTGCAACACATTATCTAGACTGTCTATTTTTAAGATTTTCATATATTTATAGTTCTACTTGATTTTAACCATTTTTGGAATTTAAAATTTGCTAATTAGGTATGAAAATGGATTTTAAGATACTACTAAGAATTTTTTATAACCAAATTACTTGTTATGATTAAATTTTAAGGTGCGCCTTAATTGGATTGTTTAAAGTTGCAACCTTATAGAAACCACATCTTTTGGAGAATGAATTTCGGCACTAATTTTTCTTTGCATTCACTATCGAGGTGAGATTTTTAAGTCGTTTTAGATGAAAATACCCCTCTCAGTGAAATTATATATATTTTGTATTTTACAATCAAGTGCAATTATTTCATAACATAGAGTGTATTTTAATTGTATCGCTTGTTTTTTGTGAAACCTCAGAATAAGCACAAATTGTGTATGTCAATACTTCTCACAATCATTCACTGATAAAAGATATTTAAAAGTAAATTTTAAAATTACAAACTATCCCTATACTATTTAGGGTAGTTTGATAATTTTATTATTTAATTTTTTAAAAATATTTATAGGTGCAAGATGGTACCAAACTTGAGCTTAATCCGTCTATTGGAAAAAAAAAGATACAATTAAAGGGTGAGGTTTGTATGAGGTGCCCACCTATACTATATCAATAAGGTGCACATCTAAATTTTGCCAGAAGACATAGTTTTGTTATTGAAAAATTTATGAGGGCTTGAAAATCCATATTCAATTCTAATTATGAAAATTGAAAATCTAAAAATGACGTGTATCGATAAAATCTATAAACAATTGCAATATTAAAAATATACAGTCCAGATAACTTGTTACAAGGTGCATTATTTTTAGGACTTGAAATTTATTTTTTATTTATATTTATATATCTTGAGGTCGAGATAATCAAGTGGAAGGTTTTCCAACTTCAAAATGCTCTCTTTTACTAGATTGTTGAGGTGCACCCTATTTTATTAGAGATAGGACTTGATTGTAAAATTTAAAATATATAAGACTATTTTTTAATATATAAAAAAATAACCGGTCTATAAATTTCCCAAAAACTTTTTATATTAAGTGGGCACTGTCATCCAAAATGATCTCCAAATTTTACTCAAGGGAGTAAATGCAAATAAAAATAGTAACAAGGTTAAAGTAAATAAAAAAGAATCAGGGTTTCTATATGTATGAAATTCCAGAAAAAGAGGTTCATGTAATGTCCCCAAAAAACTAGTATTTTCGCCCTAGAAGAAAATGTTGGATGGAATTCTAACTAGTGTAGGTTGCCGCATTGAGAGAGCTGCCTTTAAAAATCAAACAACAAAATATTGTGCAAATCATACAAACAGGCCATTTTACAATAAAGGTTTTATAAGGTTTTATCATGCAAATCATTCGAGAAAAAGGCGAAAAATGACATTATAATAAAAGTTTTATAAGGCCTATGCCTTATGGAACAAAATAAGCCTACGCTCAAAACTCATAAAAAATTGAGTTTTGGTACTGGAAAACCTTAAAGCGATCGTCTCGACTTCGATCATTGCGGTTGTTAAAAAAACTTCGGACTTTAAGCCCTATAAATAGTATATATATAACAAATTATTTAGACTAGCCATTTTCAGTTGTTCATGGATCCACAAGATCTGTAGCAATTTTTGAAATATAAATTTTATAACCGGTAGTGGAAATGGATTTTAGATCTATCCTAGAGATATTACATGCCGGAAACGAGGTCTCAAGGTGAGGCTTTAACTTTTGTTTTTATAAGGCTTAAGGCTTATAGAACTGCATTCCTAACAACGGGAAATTTGTGACTTTTATTTTATTTTATTTTAGGAACATTATTGTGATAAGTTTGATGGGAGAGCAAAATCGTTGACTTTGTTCCATTTTACATACAACCAACCCCCAACTTGTCAACAAGCACCGAAATTCAAGGAAATGCATCCAAATACAATAGTAGTATCCAAGACAACAAGTGTGCGGTTTTCTAATAAGGAAATGTAGTTGCAAAGGTAGGTATTGGGAAAAAGCTAAAATGCTGATGATGATGATGATGATGATGAGTTGCAAAGATAGTCCTAAGATCTAAGATAATCAACAATTCAATCGAGTAATTAACACATGCATGTCAAAACATGATATGAATATAAATACAAAAGTTGTAGTTTGTATAAAGTTGCAACTTTAAACAATTCAATTAAAGGCACACCTCCAAATTTTATCATGAGATGTAAAGATGTACTTGTGGTGTAAAAAATTCTTAAGATTGCCTGATAATCTATTTCCAATTATAATTATAAAAATTTTAAACTCCAAAAATAGTTCAAACCAAGTAGATTTATAAACATATGAAAGTCTTGAAAATTGACGGTTTAGATAATGTGTTGCAAGTGCAATATTTATGGTATTCAAAATCTTTTTCGTTTTCATATTCAAATGTCTTGATGTTGAGATAATCAATTAGAGGTTTTATATCATTAAAACAAAAATTTCCAATAGATTTTTGAGGCAACCTTAATTCTATAGTTGTGTTAGGATTTAAGAACCCTCTTAGAAGGGAAAACAAGAACCCCAAAGTTGGATGCTACCAAGATCGTGTACTTATCCAAAAAGAAACAAAATAAGAGAGAGTACGAGTCAAAATACGAGAAATAAAGCCTGTAACACACACATACTACAATGACAGAAAAATTTACATGGCTCACCCTAAGAGGGTTACATCCACGGGAATGGCACACTAAAATCTACTATACAAAGTTTCATCACAGATTTTGGGACATAGAGTTACCTATCTAACCCTCGACAAAACCCTAAAATCCATCGTACAATGGAAGTTACATCACATATTTTAGTACATACAGTTACCTCTCTAACCCTCAACAAAACGCAGTAGAGCAAATCCTTTTAGACCCGCTCTCTCGATTGACATGACCTGCCGATCTCTCGATCGACATGACCTACCGATCTTTCATCTTTATTTCACAGTTAAGTCACTGTCTAGGAAGAGACCCATCTCTATTCCATGACTAAACTGTTGTCCGGAAGAGACCCTTAAAAGCAACCAAAACTCTCTCACTAAAAGGGAAAACCATCCAAAATCTTCATGAGAACCACTTCTCTATAAGAAATCTGCCTCTCAAACTATAAGAGGCGCATCCATGGTGTTTCTCTCTATAAAAAGCTCTCTCTTCTCTCTAAGATGAGGCCTTGCTTCTGATGCAAAGGAGGAGGCATTGCCTCTCTCTTTAGAGGAAGCTACCATTCCCATATGGTGGCCTAAATAGGGCACACATATTTTTTCATCTCTCATCTCCTATATATATAAAGTTAGAACTCTATATTAAATAGGAAACTTCCTATAGATGTTATATATATCTCAAGAACCAAGAGATATCCCAGATTCTCCATCTTTTTAGATATTTATTTCCTTTAGGTAATTTATCAATATCAATCACAATCCCACAAAATATGATATTTTCTTATGTCGGTGCTTTTTGGATATCACTACATACAACAAGTCTAAGGTTCTATATACGCTTTCCTATATATATGGCAAATGATCTCATACTGCCATGTCATTGTAGCATGATGAAACCATACTTATAAAAAACCATGTGTGTGACATTATCATGGCCCCAAATTTTACATACATACTTTCTTCATCCCAATAATCAATCTTACAAAAGGTTTGTATGCTCCAGGATAAACATTTTATACCAGCAATCCATGAGGCACAATCTTATGCCGCAGCACTTTTAGGAGTGATATTTCATGGATGCATCGTCCTCAATTTAGCTTACCAACTTCAAAAGAAAAACAATTGCCTCCATAGTGACTTTTATTTTTCAGGATACTGATCTGGTGATTCAATTGTGAATCCCAAAATTTTACACCATAAAAAAACTAAATAAATTAAAGGATGAAATTTCTATACAGCCTAGGATTTATGAAAACAAAATAAAGCATCACCTCAAATCCTCGTCTGGAAAGCACTTCTGACAACAGAAATGTTCAGGATGGATCTAAAATCAATTTCCAACACCTACAAGAAAATTTAGAACTTAAAAAATGGTAAAAAACTTGTGGATCTATGAACAATTAATTTTGGGTGAAATGGACGGTCTAGATAATTGGTTATAATATGCACGATTTTTAGACCTTAAAATCCTATCTTTTTGCATAACTAATATGTTCAAGCCAAGATGATCGCTGTAAAGGTTTTTCAATGCTTTTATTGTGATTTTTTTTTGATGAATTATGCCGTGAGGCTTTACTTGTTTAGATAGGGCTGCAGCCCTATCAAACCATTTTCCTAGATAAAATTCTTAAATAAGTGTGCTACTTGAGGGAGTAAATGTACAATATGCTCCTAGGAGAGCATGGTAAACACGCTCGATACATATTCTTGCGTTGGTTGTGATTGTCGTACGATTTACTGCATTAGCGGTTTTGGCTGGCTAAATTGCTTAGATAATTCAAAAAGTAAAAATGCATCTTCCATAGCAATCAACATGGTCAACTTTAATCTAAAAAAAGGAGCAATTGCTTCGATAGCAATGAACACAGTCAACTTTAATCTAAGAAAAAGAGCAATTGCTTCGATAGCAATAAACATAAAGTCAACTTTAATTGCTTTAAAAAAAAGTCAATGGTATTCTAACTGGCAAAATTAAAATAATAGTGAGAAAAGGGAATAATGTAATGATACTATTTGCATTTTTGTACTAGGCCACCCTTATATAAGGGTCATGATATTTTGCTTCTAGGAAAGCTCCATACTTAGGGTTAGGTTCCCCAATGGCCCTCCACCCTTCTCTCTTCTCCTTCATCTTTCTCTTACTTATTGCCTCAGCTTTCCATTTTGTTGAGGCTTTAAACAGGAGGAGTTTCCCACCCAATTTTATTTTTGGAGTTGCCTCTTCAGCTTATCAGGTCCATTATTATTATTGTTGTTATTGTTCTTGTTATTGTTACTATTACTATTACTATTAGAACAAGCTTTTTATGTTTCTCCTACCACATAAAACTTATATACTTCCCCTTATCTAACTTTCTATTATGAATAGAAGGCTAAGATTGCTCCAATCACAATATCATGTTTCTATACTATTTTATTTTAAATTTTTTTTCTATAAACTATTTTGGCATCAAATTTTGGACGTCCAATCCTTTATTAAATTCGCACTAGCGAAAAATATAAACAAAATATTTTCAATAAAATAAAATGGCTAAAATACTACTGAAAGATTCAAGGGATTTTTTGGTCATATTTTATCGAAAAATTATTTTTAATATTTTTTATAGGTGCGTCCCAATAAACAGATAGCATGTACCAAATTTCATATTCATATAATTTAAATAAAGAAAACTAAAAATAAAATAATTTGAGACATCGGATCTAAGGTCAAATGGTGAGTGGCTATCTTGATCAAAATTAGACGGCTGGATGGTAAAGGAAGCATAGATCTTCTATTATGTAGAGGAAGTATAGAAACCTTTCCCTTACTATTATTGTTTCCTTTATTTTATTTTTAAAGAGATTGTATATTATGATATCATTTGGTTTCCAATAGCATGCGAGTTGCTCATCAACCAATAATGGTTAAGGTGTGATGTTCCACTGCTCGAAATTTGCATTGATTGTCGAATTTGGATGACAAATCTAAAATCGGAAGGTTGAGGAATGCTAAACATATTGTTAAAAGCCTGAATATTGTCATAATTGATTTTTTTTTCCCTATTGAAAAGAAAAGATATGCTATTCGACAATATGAGAGAGACATAGTAGAGGGAGAGGAAGGAAGAGGTCCATGGGTGAGGAAGAAAGAGAAAGAGGGAGAATGAGAGCCTTTCCATATCCATGGGAATTAAATAAATAGAAGAGTAAATTTTGTAATTTGGATAATAAAAAAAAGTAAGGTGTGGACTAAAAGTCCATTATTATTTAGGAAAAATAACTTTTTATTTTTTATTTTTAACTTCCATATTTCATGATACTCAAGAATTAAAAATATTATTTGTAAACAAAAAGCCTTCATTCTTTTTATCTTACAATCTCTTGGACCTATTTGATCATAAACTTTTTATCCAAACAAACACTAAAATGACTCCCTATTCAAACTCCATCTCTCTCTCTTCACTTATCGGTGAGTTTTCCAGCCAAGGGGTTTGCTTGAGCTCGAACACGAGCGCACATTCTTATGTGTGTGAGAGAGATGGAGTTTTAGTAGAGAGAGAGAGAAATGGAATTTGGGTTTTAGAGAGATGGAGTTTTAGAAAAAAGAGATGGAGTTTTAGAGAGAGAAAGAGATGAGTTTGAGTTTTAAGGAGAGAGATGGAGTTTTGAGAGAGAGAGAGAAACGATGATGTGTGAGAGAAAAATGAAGTTTGGGTTTTATAGAGAGATGGAGTTTTGAGAGAGAGAGACGATGATATGAGAGAGAGATGGAGTTTCGGAGAGACGGAGATATAGAATCATTTTAGAAGTTGTTGAGGTCAATAATATATGATCAAAAGGGTTTAGGAAGTTGGAAGATTGAAAGATTGAGTCTTTTTACTTACAAGTAATATTTTCAATTCTTGGGTATGATGAGATATAGAAGTTAAAAATAGAGAATAATAAGATATTTTTCCTATTATTTAATATGAGAGGTCTTATGAGATATTTATAAGACTAGGAGGATATTTGAGATTGAAGTTTTTGAGATATGGTTTTTGCCTTTTTCCCTTATTATTAAAGCACACACCAAAAATAACCCTGACTAAAACCTTACCATGTTACTTTTGTCATGTTATTGAGTAGTCGCTTGCAATTAATTAACTTGTTGGTGCCTATGTGGCATCTTGTTAGCCCCTACCGTCATTTTGTGAATGGTTCCTTTTGCAATTAAATTAATTAGATGCTCCATGCATCATGCATTATTATTGGGCATCTCAAGATTGAAAATTACAGGCACATTATTTTTGTTTATTGGATTTTTTGGGTTTTTTCTTTGCTTTATTTTTATTTTTATTTTTATTTTTTTTATTACTAACTAATTTTGTTGTTGAATAAAAGTATGAAGGGGCCGTAAGAGAAGGAGGCAGAGGCTTGACCAATTGGGATGTCTTTTCTCACACACACCCAGGTCTACAACCTACCCTCTTCTCATTTATTTTCGTTTGCATGGATGTATCCATGTAGGTGGTTATGAAAAAATATTTTTTAACAAACTTAAAAAATATTCAAATTATTCAAAAACTAGGTGTATATCTAGTTTTTAAATTTTTAAAATATTTTTATCAAAAACACCTTTCATGGTTCCATTAGAATCATAATGGTTTGAACACCGAATTCTCATTCATGAAGTTGTCTTATAAACCATCACAAGACTAAGAGCACTAAGATGATCCCCGTGATGGTCTATAAAATAGGGTATTGAACCATCATAATACTATTAATACAGTGATGGTCCATAAAACCTTAAATCATTGCAGCACTAATAATTCCGCAATGTTCATATTAGGATTTTGAACTATCGCGGTGTTAATAGTACTATGATGGTCTATAAAACAACTTCACCGGTGATGGTTGGGCGTTGGAATATTGCGCTTCTAATAGAACCACAAAAGACGTTTTTAGTAAAAGACAAATATACAGAGAATTAAATAATAGGTAGACACATTTTCCAAAAAAGTTGTTTATTTTCCAAATTTATTGGAAAAACTAATATTTCTTGGTAAATACGGATATGTGATATTTAGGGGAAAAAAATACAAATTGAAAAGCATATGAATAATGTTAATTATGTTTTTGCTGCCATAAAATGAGTTAGTATTTTGAAACTATTTGTCTACGTTTTCAATACAAATTATGAATAAAAATTTGTACCACAAAATGGGAAGCTTAGTTGTTTGCATTATTTTTCGAGAAGCATGAACTTATGAAAAGTTTTCAATTTCCAATCGTACTAATAGCTGTCAACCAAAATGACAAACACGCCCTTCTATGCGTTACTTTTAGGCAACACCAGGGCGAATTGAGAGTTTTTTAGTCCAACTTTTTGTCACAAATGATTCCAACAAATCAAAAAATTACAATAATAATCACTTGTTTGAAAATTTTACAAGGGAGTGATTTTTGTTCACCGTGTCCTTATCATAGAATGAAATCACTGTTCTAAAAAATCATGTTTCATTTGTCTGAACTCAAATTTGCATTCTAGATATAGTAAAAATGAGTTTCTCTCCAAACAATGTATCTAAACCATCCATTCGGTAAATTTTAAGATCTAGCGTTTATGAACTTAAAATCGTTTTTTTCTCGTTTAATATTTGTTCATATCAAATGATAATAATGCCATTTACAAAATTTGGGAAAGAAAAAAAAAATCCCACTAAATCCTATTATCTAAAAGTCCCACAAAAAGAAAACCCATTTCGGTTAAAAATAATACTTTAGTGCATAGTGATATTTGTTTTTCTTGTTAATTGTTCTTCATATTGGAAAGAGTGCATGTTTAAAAAAATTGGGATCAAACAAATAGGCCTTAGGTGGTTTTTAAAAATTGTTTCATTATATAATTATAAATATGTTGCATGAAACCATTCCCATATTTTATGTGAATGTATAAAATATGAGCCGTTTACTTTTGGCACAAGGAAAGCATTATTCACCATTATATTTCAAATTGGGTGGCTGAGGATGTGTCACTGATTGGGTACAAAGTTCAAACTAAAATTTATCGATTGTAGTAAAAAACTTAAATCCATTGGATTTCACATCAAATAAATAATAATGATTGTGACCTCTTTGTATAAAAAACAAATAGTCTCATACTATATATATGTATGTAATTTATGTTCCTTGACTATTGGATCTAACATCCCAAAAATTGTCTTGCAGAGAAGATTCGTGATGGCAGTAATGGGGACACTGCAGTTGATCAATACCACCGTTACAAGGTTAATTTCCTCTCCTTCCATAATTTATTAAATTGGAAAACCTGTTTGTATATTTTATTAATAATGTGGAGAAAACCAGAAGTCACAATATCAAAACAATTTGATTCTCAATTAGTGTAACATGTCACACTAGCCCAAGACTCGCAACCAAAAAGATAGAAAAACAATCAAGATGAGGTGGAAGAAAAACTTTCATTCAGAGAGAAAAAATAGGCTACACAAAAATATTACAATGTTAATATAAGTGATCCTATTTTCCAAAAATGCACCTCTCTTAAAAATAGAGGTTCTTACAACCATATTTACGACAATAACTACCTATTTATAATAATAGGCACTAATTTACAATAATCACTACTAATCACCTAGTAATATCTATTACGTAAAATTATAAATACAACCCCACTATATCACTCAAAATCAATAATGTGATTCTAAAAAACACACTTTAACAATTTTAACAAATACAAGTTGAATTTTTGTTTTGTAGAACGTCTTCCAATATTAATTTGAATTTGCTTCATGTTGCAGGGCGACATTAAACTAATGAAATACCTTGGGATCGATGCTTATAGAATGTCAATAGAATGGTCCAGAATCTTACCCGGTAACCCTTCAAAGATCCAAAATATTATAGTCTTTTAGAATTTTCCCAATTTTTTGTATTATTTATTTTTATTTGTTTTGGGATTTTCGAGTATAGACCGGTAAAATTATTTAATTTATTAATAAAAGCTTAATCTTGTCAAAAACTTTTTATTGAATTTATCACTTGATCTATAAATTTGGTAAATTTTATCACGAGATTCTAGGCCCCCTTAACTTTTATTATTTTGTCAATTTTAACCCCAATTTAATGTTTCATACAATAAACTACTCAATTTTTTTATATTTTTCTTGACATTTGTAGGGTAGTCTAAGGTCTATATCGAACTGCCCTATTTGTAGGGTGGTTATCTAACTGCAGCATCGGACTGACCTACATTTTTGGCCCATCCTTCTTTACATGACAATATAATATTGCCAACAGTAGACCCATATTTCTCTTTTTTTTTTTTTGGTATGTTTTAACTGGCTGAGCTTTCAAACATGGAACCATATAAATAAAAAAGAAGCTATGAAAAGGACAATTTGATATTTATAACATCGGACTACCCTATAGATAATGCTAGGCAAAAATTATAGCGTTGTCGGATGTTGTAGTTATCAGATTACCCTATAGATGGGATGGTTCAATACGACATCAGATAGACCCAAGAATATCAAAAAATTAAAATTTTAAACAATAATCAATTTGATGTTTGAAACATCCACCCTAAGAGTAAAATAAAAAAATAAAAAAATAAAAAATAAAAAGAGAAGAAGAAGGGGGAGTAAGACCTCGCTTCAAAATTATCGAACTTATGAACAAATGGATAAATTTGATAATTTTAGCCGATCCATACATAAAAATCCGATTTGCTTACATTTTTAGTTGGTAGAAGATGAAATACTTGGAGGCTGTCATCGATATTTACTCTTTTAATAGTGAATATTAATTTTATTTTATTTTTTTAAATGTCATAAATCAGAAGGTTCCTTGGAAGGAGGTGTGAACAGGGAAGGGATCGACCATTATAACAATGTCATCAATGAACTCCTTGCCAATGGTTCTCTCTCACTCTCTCTTTTATATATATATATATAGAAATTCTGGCATAGATTTACTAGCCTACAGTTATATAAGGCCCAACGGTCCAAATTCAATCTGGGCTGATCCAATGATCACGATTACATTTCGTATTTTAATTTTAATTTTTTTATATAAATTCAAAACATTTTAAAATTTGGACGTGTGTTTTTTAAGAATATTAGAATCCAATAAAAATATCAAACAAATATTTCGTGAAAAATAAATTGACCAAAATACCCTCGAAACATTTCAGGGATATTTTGGTCAATTTATGTTTTACGAATTATTTTTTAAATATTTTTATTAGGTACACGTTGATGAGAAGAATAGATTGTTAGAATTTCACATGATTTGGAGTTGTAGAAAAAATATTAAAATTCAAATACAAAATGACGTCATATTCGTCAGATAGGCCCATATTGAATCTGAGCCGTTGAGCCTATATATGTGTGTGTTTATTTATTGGGTAGCTCATTTTAAATGCAATGCATGTAATGTGTGTAGGTATTCAACCATTTGTGACAATTTTCCATTGGGATCTCCCCCAAGCACTAGAGGATGCCTATGGAGGATTCTTGAGTCCCAATATAGTGTAAACTTCTCTCTCCTATTTCCACACTGAAGAGCTTTGTGTTTATAACCATTAAGATTACATTTAGAACTGCAAATCAACCATAAAAACTAACAAACTTGTAAAAAACCTGTGGGCATTGAGTCTTTTGTTAAGAGGACAACTTGATCGATCGTCTATGGCCATTATTTTTTATTTCTTTGACAACGCTTCCTCCCGCAAAAAGTGCCCATTCTATTAATTTTGAAAGACTACATTATTTCTTTTTAAAAAATGGGGCAGATATACACTTGTTATATCTTTTTTCTCATAAGATGAGCAGTTATAACTCATAATTCATAAAGGCAAAAGTTTATAAAAGGTTGCAACCTTAAACAAATTTTAAAAAAGTGATCATGGAAAACACACTCACCGATCTTTATCAAATACATCTAAATCATATAAGAAAAAAGGGTATAATATAAATTTATTTTCTTACCATTTTTCATTTTTCCTTAGATGTTTTAAGTACCCCAATTTGGGTACTTGGCCTCACCCACAGAGCGGGCCAAGCGGGGCGAGTACCTGTAGATTGACTGGTCTTTTGCCCCTTCATAAGTAATTCTCTTAAGGGTTTTCCTTATAAACATTTCTCCTATAATTTCCCCATCATCTCTCGCTTCAATGCGAAAATGGCTTTATCATTTCCATCATTTTCTAATAAGTTTTATGTGGGAACATTCAATTTATCGAGGAAAACTTTATTCACAATGCAAGTACAAACTCAGCTATAATTTACAACATATTTTTCTTTATTGAGTAGAAGTATGATTTTACAAAGCCTATGATTCTCCTCATGGCTTCATTCAAATATTATCTGTTTCATCCTATGGTACCAAAGAACTTACCGATCAAAGTCATCTTCCAACGGTTGTTTACATAAAAAATTCCGTTTTAGTTTGTTTTCCTTCTCACTTCTCAATAAAATTAATATTGACTATTCACCATTATGATTTTTTTTATGAATTTTTTCATCATACCCAATTCTCTGGCTCATTATAATAAGATTATGTGATCTAAACAGGAAAGACTACACTGACTATGTCGACATTTGCTTTAGAGAATTTGGAGACAGAGTGAAACATTGGATTACATTAAATGAACCATTCTCTTATGCATATGGAGGTTATGTGGCTGGGTCTTATGCGCCGGGGCATTGCTCGTACCCCGATGGAAACTGTACTATAGGAAATTCCGGTACTGAGCCTTACATTGTTGCCCATCACCTTCTCCTTTCACATGCGGCGGCAGTGAAGTTGTACAGGGAGAGATATCAAGTAAGCTCTAACATGTGTGTTAGAAATTTTTTTGTTTATTTATTACAAACAATATTTGCTCATATTAGTTTTTTCCCTGTCAAAAAGAGGCAAGAAAGGAAAACGAACTAGAAATGTTTTAGGGAATTATATTAGTTTTAACTGTCAAAATTAAATAAATAAATAATGACTATGACTCGCATACTCAAATTTATTGGGAATCTTGAATGAAGATTTAGGCATCCATGACCTTTACAGAAAGGGAGTTAGATTCTTGTTTGACTGCTTTGGTTTCAATCTAATGGGATTGTTTAGGTATTAGAAGCTTGAGCTGGGGATTGTTTGGACAGTGAATAATTTTATTTGGACTAGGCTATTTTATCTAAAATTAATACATTCTCGATAATATTATCTTGTTAGTTGTTTGGTACTTATTGTATATTATGTATAATATGATTTAGCTATTAAAATTTTTGAAAATTTTCAGATTTTTTTTAGCTATTTCTTACCAAAACCATAATGATCTTCAATAAATTTTCATAAATACAATAAAATAATTTAAAAAAAGATAAACTTGTATATAAAGCCGCTTTAAATTTATATCAAATAATTTTATGATGGACACAACCAAATATTGGGAAATTCATTATTAATAGTAATTTTATTGAAATACTGAATTATCATTGATAACGAATGCATCGAAAAAGTCAAAAAGGGGATGAGTATCTAAAATTCCTTGTTTATCATGAGATTCAACTCATCAAAACATTCAAAAAACAAAGGTAGAAACTTGGTATGGTAATGGCAAGCTTTGTGTCCAATCTCACAATTGCAACATTTATTCCTTTTTCAATTTTATCCTATTTATTTTACGAATAACAAAATATAAATATGTGCAGGCGTACCAAAAGGGAGTGTTGGGCATAAGCCTTATCACCAATTGGATGATTCCTTCCACTTCTTCGAAGTCCAATGATGATGCTGCCCAAAGAGCCATTGACTTTATGTTTGGATGGTTAGATTTCCATTTCCAAAGCATTTTATTTGGAATTTACCAAAATGGATTTCATTTAGCCTTACAAAGACAATAAAAAATAACTTTTAAAATAGAAAATAAAGGAACAAAATTATTCTTTTCAATAGATCTCCAAGGGAAATATTTCTAATTTATATTTTGATATTTTTTAGGTTTTGGGATCCAATTGCTTTGGGTGATTATCCATTGAGCATGAGGGCTTTAGTGGGAGAAAGGTTGCCTAAATTTACTAAGGAGCAGTCAATAATGTTGAAGGGATCATATGATTTCTTGGGGCTGAATTACTACACCACCAATTATGTGCACAATGCTCCAAGTAAAAGTAATATAGTTAGCTATAAGACTGACTCACAAGCGAACCAGACAGGTAATTCTCTCTCACTCTCTCTCTCTCTCTCTCTCTCTCCCCTTCAGTAATTCCAAATTTATCCTGTGTCTCTGGTCTACACAATCATTGTTTAAGAAGACGCTAAAAGAGTTAGAAGTTCTTATTGTTTTTGGTTTGAACAGCGGTGAAGAATGGCAAATTAATCGGCCCACAGGTGAAGTCTATAATCATACAACCGTTTCATTCTAGCCTCCTTTAAATTCTATTTATCTTGATTTTTCATCTCATATGCTTTTCATTTCTATTAATTATTGTCTCAAATGAATCATTTCCATTGACAATATTTTATTATTTTTTCTTCCAATTTCTCAAAACAACCTTCATGTTTAAAAAATTTACAAAAATCTATAAAGATTAAGTATGGCTGTAATTCTTTACCTAATAATCATTTTTTATTATTATTCACTACTTTGTAGTCTAGTATATTTTTCTATATAACAGGTTCCTTAATTAGCAAGAAAACATAGACATCAGCACAATGTTTTCCATTAGCTCTTTTCCTTTCATTTGAGAATGTTAACTTGAGATCTAGTTACGTGCGGATATTGGGTCGGGTCCAGCTCCAATTGACCTAGACCCGACCTGGGTCAAGGTCCAACCTATAAGTAGCCAGATTGGGTTTGGATCAATCAAAACCTGACCCGACCTATTCCCACCCTTAGATCTCCTGGGTCAAGGTCCAACGTATAAGTAGTCAGGTTGGATTTGGATCAATCAAAACCTGACCCGACCTATTCCCACCCTTAGATCTAGTGAAAACTGACTCTAGGCACCATGTTGTTGCACCACGACCGTGACCATCTCTATCTAGAGCTTATTCTCTTGTTTTACATTGGTTTGTTTATTTTTTATATTTGGAAATTTTGCTTGTTGGTTTGGGCAGTCTAGCCACAATATAACCTCAATAGTTCCATTCCCACCACTTACCTACCAAAAAATTTATTTTTATATCATTGCCTACATATTTTCTTTGGTAAAATTGATGTTTCTTTTTTTAGGGTTATTTCCTTTATTTTCAAATATTAGATTTCTGAGGGTGTTTTCTGGGTGAAATTTTATGGAAATATAAATCAACCAAAAGTGTGTTAATTAGTTGGAGGTGAAATTTTCAGGAGGCTATTGATTTTCTCCATGTATATCCAAAGGGTCTCGAAGAACTACTCGTTTATATTAAGAAAAGATACAACAATCCCCTCATTTATGTTACTGAAAATGGTACCATCTCTTTCTCTGATCAATCCTTCACCTTTAGCTTTTTATCAATTTTTTTTTTTGAAGTTTTCTCTCTCTGTTATTTTGGTTATATTTATATATAATGTAAGTGAAATTAAAATGTTCACTTGTTTGAACAGGCGTTTGTGAGTTTAACAATGCGTCGATTCCTCTTAAAGAGGCCCTTAATGATCAAATGAGAGTAGATTTCTACAAAGGACACACTTACTACCTTCACCGGGCCATCCAGTAAGTTCGTCATATAAAGACCACTATTGTGTAAATACTTGCCCGATCGATAGGGCTGGGATGGGGCTAGGGCAAAGAGGCCTGCCCTAGCCCTGTCAGGGCCATGCTAAGCCGGGCCGGGGCGAAATATTAAAAGAAAAAGTAAATTAAGCGTAAAAGGACTGGTCATGGTCAAACTACTCATTGCCCAGCCTCGCCCTCAAACGGTGGTAGCTTGATCCTAGGCAAAAATTCCTTTAGCCACATTTTGTGGCCTAGGTCTAGCTTTTTACGGCCTAGTCACCCGGACCATTGAAAAAAAAAAAAGAAAAAAAAATTACAAAAGCCCTCGATTTAACCTTTTTTACAACCTCCTCCTACCAATTTTTTATTACAACTTTTACGCCATAACAAACTTTAATAACAAATACTCCCCAAATCAAAAAGTCATAGTTATTTGAATCAAAATATCCTCTCTTTGGTCATTGAATGTGTCGGTCCGATACTTATAAATGCCGTCCAACAGTTATGATGCCTCGGTTCGGCACTTGTAAATGTGGTCCGACATATTGTTGTCACGATCGGATAGCTATGATGCCTCAATCATGCATAAGTTGCATGCGATCCTACACATTGTCGTTGTGGTTTGACATCTATGATGCCTCGGTCCAACATAAGTTGCATGCGGTCCGATAGATTTGTTGTTGTGGTTCGGTATTAATGTGGTATGCATTTCGATCCGACAGTAATATGTGCCAGACTGTTTATGGAAGTGTGGCGCCTTCATGTATGGACAAAGGCATTTTCATTCTCCAAACTATGACTTTTTGACTTTGGGAAGTCTTTGTTGTAAAAGTTAGTTTTAGAATAAAAATTACCCTAAAAAATTGATTGGGGGAAGTTATAAGGCTTTTTTTTTGCTTTTTCTTTTTTTTTTTTTGGTAACAAATCAATAAATATTACGAAATGAAGACAAGAAAAACACAAAATCATTATAAAAAAAAATACTACATTGACGGAAAAATTACAAAAAGTACCCTTTCATTCCTCCTAAGCAATTTGGATAGAGCCGGAGAATAAGGGGGAAATTGTGGGTTTCAGGCAAGGAGTGAATGTGAAAGGCTACTTCCCTTGGACATTAATGGATGATTTCGAATGGGACTTTGGTTTCTCTGTTCGTTTTGGCCTCATTTTTGTGGATTACAAGACTTTGAAGAGGTACCCCAAACGCTCTGCTTATTGGTACAAGAACTTCCTCAAAGGCTAGATCCACCATTAATGGAGCTCAGAGAAATTACATGAATCCTGAATTGATGTTTTAAACACAAGTTAGTCACTTCGTGAACTAGTGGCTTTCTTTTCAGAGTTTCTCTGGTATCTCTCTTTCTTACTGGACTTGTATATCGTTTTTATTAATCTTTGCTATAATAAATGCTTGATGATTGAAGCCATTGTCTCTTTGGTTGTATATTCTTTGATAGAAATGGTAAGTAATTTCAGAGAATCAGCCCCACTTTATTTTTATTTTTTATTTTATTTTAATTTTTTTGATCCCGGTGAACCAATCCCACTTTATTGTTTATTATTTTTCAAATTATTTGTTCCCTAATTTTTTAAAATTTTTTATCCGCTTGTTCACTAGGCTGGATCACTAATCCAGATTGATTTTTTTGAATGGGCGATCTGGATCGCTAAATTGTGTTTTTAAACCTTGGAGTGAACAAATAGCTTAATTATCAAACTCTTAAAAGTCTTGCCAATGTCAAAAGTCATCCAGTGTTTGACCCACTTTGCTACAATTTTAAAAGCAAGTGTACTATTTGGTACTGATTGTACTATCTAAAACTCTTAATTTGAACACAAGGGAAAAGCAACTGTACTATTTGGTACTGATTGTACTATCTAAAACTCTTAATTTGAACACAAGGGAAAACTTTCGATGTTCCCCCGACAACATAGAAGTTTTATTCTCCCACTTATTAGACCGTCTATTTTTTAACGGAGGGTTAAAATTGCTCCAATCATAATGTCACATCAGTACATTATTTTATTTTTAATTTTTTTTCTATAGGCTATTTTGACACCAAATTTTGGACGTTCATTCCTCTATTAAACTCACACTAACGAAAAATATAAAAAAATATTTTCGATAAAATAAAATGATCATAATATCCCTGAAAATTTCAAGGTGTATTTTGGTCATTATTTTTTATCGAAAAATTATTATTAATATTTTTTATAGGTGCGCCCCAATGAGAAGATGGCATGTACCAAATTTCATATTCAAAAAATTTGTATTAAGAAAACTAAAAATAAAATACTTTGAGACATTGAATCTAAGATAAAACGGTGAGTGGTTCTCTTGATAAAACATGGATGGTAGGGGGAGGATAAAATTTCTATGTTGTCAGAGGAACATAGAAAGCTTTCCCCCCAACATAATCCCCTTATTGGCTTTTGTAATCCATCTCTCAATTAGTAGGCTGGCAATGGGCCTGGCCAACCCTGGCGTGAATCCACGGAGGACCAGGGCGATGACAAGCCCAACCCTGACCCTGCCCTGGCCCTATAAGGGCTGAACCGGGCTAGATAAAATCAAAGAAAAACAAGGGAAAAAAAGATAAAGAAATAAGTGCCGGGCCGGTGCTGTCTTGGCCTAGCCCATGCCCTTTGGCCAAATTTTCGTAGCACAAGCCCTAATTTTTTGAGCCACCTAGCTCATTGGGACCCTTATCAAGCCAAAAAAAATGTAGTACAACATCTTCTTCTTTTGTCAAAAAAAAAAGAAGATAATCAACAAGTATCATATTTTTCTTGTTAAAAAAAAAAAAAGATAACACAATAAGTATTTCTTGTCAAAAAAATAAAAGGTATTTCTTAATACAACTAAAGAATAAATGGTCTAATTATATTTTTTATTTTTATAACATGATGGTCTTTAACATAAATTTAGTAATATTAATTTAAACATAAGATTCATACGATGAGGCCATTTAAAATCTCTCTCTTTCTACTAACAATCTATTCCACTAATTTATTCTAAAAACCTAAAAAATTAAAGAAAATTGGTACGTATTTTAATAACTTCTACATTGATAACCAAATCTTTGATTTTATTTATTAATTTTTATATTATAAATCGTGTAGTGTACTATGTTTCTTACAGTTGTCAATAATATATTTTAAATTAATAT